CGGCTGGAATAACTGGTTTTGTAGCATCAATCTGCACACGTGTTTTTCACACGTCATTTTTTCCTGGGGGCTCTGTCCTGTGCCCTGCCACATTGGGTTTATTGCAGTTGCACTTTGGCATTAGGAGAGACTATACAGCACAAGGAGGAAGAGTAGAAGGCTGGAGGCAGCATGCTCCCCATTGCTTTCCAGCCTGGAGAACAGCCACAGCCTTTTCTGTGCACATGCACTTGCAGGAACCATTTGGGTTGCTCTGTGCATGCTGATGAACCACAAGGCTGTCTGATTTGTCTCACAGAAAGCAGTTGTTTCTTGTCACTGAGGGGATTTAATCTCTTTCTCAGTTATTGCTTGAGTATTTTTGATCTTAGTCTAATCAGTCTGGGCAATTAATAACCAGATAGCAGTCAGCCATTCATTAAAAGGAAGCGTTGTGTAGTGTCCATAATTTTTCTGAAAAAGCTTAAAAAATATATTGCCACATTTTATTTCTCTTTCTTATTGCTTTTAGTTGAAAAGAAAATCATCCAAACTGACATGAAAAACTCAGGTGATCGGACGAAGATAGATAAAAATTAACTTCAGAAATAACCTTCAGAATGTTTTTTGGTTACCTGTGGCATCCTAGCTCTACTATATTTCTGACCACTATCAGATCCATTTGCTCTGAAAAAGAAATTTATCAAGGATTCATTATTTGGCCAGATAAAAATTGTTGCTTTTGTACACTGCAATTACTACAGTTGTATTGGCTAGACAGCATTCCTAATACCAAAATGTCTGCTTCAAATGGCAGTGATTTAAATGTTTTCTCTGACGGCCTGTGTTATTCTCTGTTATCTTTCTCACTGACAATTGCCTTCAAAATTCAGGTGTACAGTGTTCTTTTGTTTTGCACAACAGGGCTGATGGAGTGATGAGAACAATGAGCACAGAAAAACTTCTAAAAACTGTACCAATTATACAAAATCAAATGGATGCACTTCTTGACTTCAATGTAAGTTTAGCAGTGTGTACCTGTCTAACATACTATTGACTTTGTTGTACAAACCTACACAAGCTTGTAAAATAGTTCAAGATTAGATGTCCTGAACTTGGTTCCATGTTATTTGCACAGCTTAAAGAGCACAATTTGTTTTGTTAATTGGTATACCCCCAAGAAATCAGAAAAAAAATGATGCTCACTGGAGAGAATGCTGTGTGCTAAATTAGTGTTGTTTATCGTGTACATTTATATAAGAATTGTTCTGTTCATTTAAAAGTTGATTATTTCTGCTCTCTCCCTTTAGTTATATTAGTTAACATTAACATTAGCTAACAAAAGTGCCAAAGTGATTTGATGTAATTCTCTGCTGAGAGATCCTGTGTTGATTTGCTATGCTGCTACTTTCTACTAATAGCCAGTGAGATGAGTGGAAAGCATGCCCTGGGATAGAGTACTGGAATTCAACTAGAAAGTTTTCAATAAGGGATCAATTCAGTTAAATTAACTTTTTTTTTCTGGTCTTCCTAGGTCAATAGCAATGAACTTACAAATGGTGTAATTAATGCTGCCTTCATGCTTCTCTTCAAAGATGCCATTAGACTGTTTGCGGCATATAACGAAGGGATTATTAACCTCTTGGGTAAATAGAGCTGCTTTCTGCAATGTTAAACTTTGGGGAGGGAGTTCAGTGAAAAAGTGCAAAAAGCTGCTCTTTGTTGAGCAGTTGAAGTAGTTTTACTGTAAAACGTCAAAATATTACTGTTGCATTTATTTCCAAGGTTTGTCTGTCTAGCTGCACTCTCCATTACATTGTATACAGGGATAGGTAAATTTCTGAAAGCAAAGTACATAAAAGATTTTCTTCACACTTTTTTTTCTTTCACTGCTTTGTTTTGTAGGTTTTTTGTATTTTAAGGGAAGCTACAAATTCAAGGTTCAGGCCCTTTCACTTAAACACACTGGAAATGAAGGGGAGACTAATTATAAAAAATAATTAAGTGGAAAAACATCTGTTGATTTGCTTGGTTTGATTATATTCCATGATGAGATCAAGCTACCCTGTGGCAGTTATTACCCAATGCTTGTAAAATGGAAAGCAAAATTTAGAATTAGTCAGTGAACGACAGTCACGTTTCAAATCAGAAGCCCCTGTCTACTGCATTTCCCTCGTTAAGAACTGGCATTGAGCAAAGCTTAATATAGAAACAGGCCTTGAATGTTCCATTTCAAGAAGGAGGTTGGGACCCTCTTGCTTTCAGCACTGTTTTTTTGTAATCAGCTGCACCTCATTGCAGACCATGCTGTAACAAGGAGGCATCAGTCTGGCAAAAAAAAATCAAACACTTGCCTAACATTTAGCCACTGGAATAGAGTAATGTCTGACTGCCAGATTGTAAAGTTGCTTCTTTTTTTCCCTCGAGAGGATGCACTTACATGTGAGTGACCTATTCTTAAACTTGATTGTCCTCTTCAGGGTGGTTAATGCTTTTGTGAGATCTAGTACCTGCAAGGTAAGGTGTAATTGCATGCATGTGATCATTAGCTGATGTTCCACAGAGCTTTTGTCATTTGGTGCAAGTTAGGCATAGTGACTTCTGCAGTTAATGTAATAAAACAGATCTGCAGGCATTTTCTCTTTGTCTTGTTTTATGCTTTTACTTTGCATATCCTTTGCAGAATGCTTTATCTATTCTTTAACACAAGTGTTCATACTGTTTATAGAAAAATACTTTGATATGAAAAAGAACCAGTGCAAAGAAGGCCTTGATATATATAAGAAGTTCCTCACTAGAATGACACGGATCTCGGAGTTCCTTAAAGTTGCAGAGGTAAACTTTCTTCAGCCAAACTTTGCACTTTATTTATAACAGCTTATAAAGTGCTTGTTTTCTCATAAAGTAGATGCTTCTTCCTTCCAGCCTAATTGCAGTTCTATCAAGGGTCATATTGTCATTCTCTACCCTGGTTATTGGCTCATTTGAGGACTTTATTGTAAAAACTGAACACAGAACACTGGTTTATGTTTTACTTGAGAGTGTATAAATATGCATTTTTAATTTGCCTTGGTTACATAATAATTGTGAGCTTCCTTTTCTTTGAAGACCCTTCCTTTAAATAAAGTAACTTCATGGTGATCTGCTGCTTTCTATGATTCTAGCTGCGTTCTAGTTTGAAACCCACAATTCTGCCATAAGTTCTAAATGAAATAACTTCACAAATAAGACAAGTGAATGAACATGTGATTTTTTTTTTTTTTTTAAAGGTATCTTGGCTATAGGTGTTTTTACACTGGACAAAGCAGTTACTGTACGAAATTATTTGTTTGTGGTTTGTTTGGGTTTTTTTAGATGTATTTAGCATGTTGTAGTTTTTTCTGAAGCATTACTGAATTATCTCCTGGTAGTATGGAATTCCTCAGATGAGTTGTGCTCCTGTTCTTGTCTTGCCTTCCTTCAATATTTGTATCTCTCTGAACAAAAAACTTTAAAATGTTTTTAAAAAGTTAAAATTGGCTCGCTGTCTGTCCTGACAGAGTATCTCTGAGATGCTACCTTGAGCTATCTTGGGTTGATAACACTATCAACTGAAGTTGATGGTATTAATTTTTCTATTCTGTCACTATATAGTTTGCTGCAGAACATCGTATGTTTCATCTGCATTTTAGAAAACAGCTTCTGTAGAAAACTTTGAAGGTGCTTGGTTTTAATAGATATATGCTCTATATCAGGAGGTGTGAGAATTTACCATGTAAAATGTGGGATAGGCAAACTTCTCTATCCTTAAAATTCTGAAACATTGGATTCTCCCTCTATTTTTAATAATTTCTGAGGTTGTATCTGTTAAAATATCTCTAACACCTATTTCAAATGTGTATAAATTTCACAGAAGAATGTTATAACTGACCATAGAGTTCAGACTGTGGAGATTTAAAATGTGTATGGGCAGGTTTTTCCTTTTTACATGACTTCACCTTAATGTTGTTTGCTTTTTGAGTGTGTCTGCCTTTAACAAAAGCAAACAGGTTCTAAAGCTGGTTTGTTTCATTGCAGCAAGTTGGAATTGACAGAGGAGACATACCAGACCTCTCGCAGGTAAATAAACCTGTTATGTGGTTGTCAGTACACGTCTGTTCTGGAGTTGCATAATCGGAAAAACTTGAGATTATGGCATTCACGTATGCCTTCTGCTGTATGTTGTCACCAAGTTCCAACATCTCCAAGTTTGTGTTTAAATCCAACTTTTGTTAGAGCCTGGCTTTTATATGCAGTGATCCTATTGTAAAATATTATAGATCATTTCTGTCATACTCTAATTGAGTTTTAAGACAATCTGATTTCTGTCGTGCTTGAAGATGCAATTTATATCTGTGAGTTCACATAATGCAAGTTTTACATGATATTATGAAGCTGTGGGGTTTGGCAAGCTTGCTTTTGGCTGTGTGCCCATTTAAGTCACTGTGAAGGCTTGCAGACGTGCACATGGAAATTGTACCTAAAGTAATTTCTTTCTCAGTGTGTCTTGAAATACTGACTGCTTCCGATTGTCTGCTTGCTGTTTCCTAGCTGTTAATTTTAACATCTCTTGACATATTTCAGTACTTAGTGGTGAGTCATTGTGACAGACTAATGTGGTGAGGAGAGTACATCACCTGATATTTTAAGTAATTAGATATGTACAGGGTGCCAAAGATGTGGTATAAGTATTCTGAGCTGTCGTACCAGTTGCCAGACAGTTGCATTCTCTGAAAGTCTTTTAACCACTGATTTGCTTCGCCTTAAATGCAAATGTCTCTTTTTGCAGGCACCGAGTAGCCTCCTTGATGCTTTGGAACAACATTTAGCTTCTCTAGAAGGGAAGAAAATCAAAGATTCCACAGCTGCAAGCAGGTGCTCATGCCCTTATCCTTTTAAACAATTGTTGAATTGAATGTTGAATTCATTATTTGCAATTTCTTTATAAACTAAGGCTTATGTGGGCTATGTTGAAGACATTGTATTAGCAATGTTAGAATAGCAAGTTATCGTATCTTTTGCTGAGTATTTAGGACAGCTGCTTCTAGGTCAACAGAACTAGAATCTGAGGAGCTGCAAGCACTCGCTGTATTTATTTAACGTATAATCTTGAGGTTAGAATTTAAGAATAAATTAGGCTTTAACATCTAATCTTGAGCTTCTGAAAGTTTTGGTTTTTTTTTCTTTTACTGCCTGCAAATGTTCATTTTAAGTTAATAATTAGATTTTTGTATGGTTTGCAACATTTATTTATTAATGTCCTTGTACTCATATCTCAACTTGAATACCTTTTTTCTCAAAACAAGAAAATGCTTTAAAAAGTCCTTACATAAAGAATGGATTTTTAAGTAATTGAGATTTAAAGCCACAATGTACATGGTAAAAGGCATTCACCAATTTTGAGTGCTTGCTAAAACATAGTGCAATCTTGAGAAGTCCTCTAGCTGAATAACTTCATTGTTTAAATTTAAAAAGCTTAATATTGGGAGGAAGACTTGTAAAATTACAAAGCATTTCTTTACTGCATATTCAAAAAATAAGGCAGTAATATTTTATACTATTTTAATGACTGTGACGCTATTAGGGCTTAGCACCTGTTTGTTAGCTACTTGTCAAAATATTTGCTTTCCTTTGTAAGATTCCTTTAGGTTGTTTGAGAAGCTTGCTATTTGTTTTAAATCTTTTTGCACACTCTTAAACATGATGATAAATTGCAGACCTTTCCTCTGGGGTATACTAGTTGGATTGATAGTTTCTTAACTAAACTTGTTAAATTAGCAATAATTTGAATTGAAGCACAATTGAAGACAGGAAAAGAGCAAGAACTTCAAACATGAATTCTGTGAAGCAGTTTGGAGGGGAAAAAATGAAGGGGGAGACTCCAAAATCTAGTGTATAAGAGTAGAGAGCACAATTTCTAGGAGTTTTTGTTTTGTAGTTGATATGGTGTGTTTTATTTAAATTTAGCACTTTGTATTGTATTGTGTAAGCTATAATGAGTTCAGAAGGAGACTGGGTGGATAAAAGCAGTGTTCTTTAGACGTACCTATCACGTGTCACCTATTAACAGCCAGCTTTTCTCCTGTCCAATTACTTCAGGGCTACCACCCTTTCCAATGCAGTCTCTTCCCTTGCAAGCACTGGCCTGTCCCTCACAAAAGTTGATGAAAGGGAAAAACAGGCTGCGTTAGAGGAAGAACAGGCTCTCTTAAAAGCTTTAAAGGTAGGCATACAGAATTTTTAATTGAAAACACTTTTCCTGTGTTGTTGATAGTTTATTAGGATTCTTAAAGGCACAAGGGGCAGAATCTGCCTTATTAATATTGCACATATGCTGTTAGCAAGGTGCTGGCAGTAGAATTGTATGCACATACACCGTACGACTTGTGGGGGGTTTGTTAAAATAGTTTGTGAAGGATTTGTGGCACTGCTGACTCTTGCAATTTGAAATAGCTGGCACTGGTGTGGAGTAAATCAAAAGAATTCTTTAGTTCTGCTTCAGTTACCTCCAAAGTCATATACACAAATGTTGTTTCTGGATTTCTTATGCCAGCTCCCTTTCCCAACAGGAGCAACGTCTAAAAGAACTTGCAAAGAAACCTCATACCTCTTTAACAACTGCAGCTTCTCCTGTGTCAACTGCAGCAGGAAGCATAATGACTACCCCAGCCATTGATATCTTTTCTACCCCTAGCTCTTCAAACAGGTATGCTTAATGGTTTTGCTTCACTGAGGTGCACTGCAGCTAGGTTTTTCCTCAAAATTTCTGCTGCAGAGTGTGTTGCCAAAGGTTAGTTGGATGTAGAGTACACTAGTGATGTGACGAGAAATTATAATTTTGGTAATATATAAAATTTCATAATATTCATAATATTAAATAACATAAAAAAATCAGAAGTGTGGTTTCATTGTCCTTTGCAGAACAGTTTCTTACACAAACCAACTGCTGTGACAGCCCTTGTAGCTGCTTTTAGTCGGTGAGACAGACAGTTGGAACCGTAAAACACGCTTGCTTTGGCCCCAAAGAGCTTTACAAGTTAATTTGGGAAAAATCAAATAAGAATTCCATTTGGGAGGTCATAAAGGTAATACTGAATTTAATGTCGTATTTCTAGATTTTTAAAAGTAGTGTGGTAGCAATCTTGGTAGATTTTAAGAAAAAGGAAAGCTTCAAACAGGGTTTGAAAAGAGAGAAGTGGGTTTTGGCAGTCTTGAGTTATCTGGAACATCTGTCTGCAAGGACTTGCAAAGGTAGTGCAAGAGTACTCACTGCACACTAATCCTCATTTTTGACTAGCAGGAGCTGTTGGTATGAGTAAGTGTGTGATCTTCATTCTGTAAAATACCTGTCAAATCAAGCAGAGGCAAAAGGTACAGTGCTTTTATCAGTATAGAAGGAAGAAGCTCTCTGAAGGCATGTTTTTGCTTGGAGTGTCATCCTAAACCCAAAGGATGGCTTAGTTGTTCTGTTAAAGCTCACTTAAAAATCTGTTCTTTTAAACTAGTCAGCACTTTGGAGCCTTCTTTCCCTGTTAGAAAGCTTGACAGCAAGTATGTAGAAAACAGCTGAATCACTTATAAGGAGCTAGAGAATCTGTCAGTATTACTATCTGAAAGACTTTCTTGAAAACAATTTTTTAAATTGCTTTCTAGAGGCCAGAATATTTGAAATGAGTGTAGCTTTGAACGAGTAACTTGAGTATCTGGTCTTGCTTCTTTAGACCTCTGAAACAGAAACGTCTGATAAAGCTGCTTCAGACAGCCTGAATTGCTAGACAGTGAAGACTAAGAGCATTTTCTTAAAAAAAAAAAAAAAAAAAAAGAAAAGGAAAAAAAGCTAGTTCATCGTCTTGTTAATATTCTGTTGCTGGCAGTGTGACTCCTGTGAGCAAAGACCAGACTTTTGCAGCAGGAGCTGCCATGAAGAGGATATGTTGGGTCATAAGTTCAGTTGCTTGCTGTTAGATGCAGCGTGTCTGATTATTCCCTCTCATTATCTTGAACAAGCTTTACCTTGAAAATTATCCTGATTCTGCTGGTTACATTACAGGGCTGTGAGATCGTGCTGCTTTTTAATAGGAGAAGCAGTGACAAAATGGTTTCAGTCACTGTTGAAATGAAGTAGTAGAAGTTGAATGATACGAGTGATTTGGTCAGGAAGAGAATCTATGGAGGTCTCAATGTTGCTTCTGCACTATTAGCCTTTAAACTGTTGTGCCGGTCTCATTTCAAAAGGTGCTTGGATGCTACAATGACTTGGGTTATGTCCTCTGTAGCAGCTGTATATGCAAATTTTGGTTCAATTCTTGTGCTAAAAAGTTCTGGATGAACACCAGTGCTCCTTTTTTTTTCTTTTCTAAGATTGAAGTATGAAATGAACTCTCCGCCAGAGGATGAATTTTACTATTCCCGTTTGACTCCAGAAATTACTGCAGCCGTTGTATTTAAGACTTTACATTTCTGTGGGATGTTCTTGGGTCTCAATTTGATTTTGATATGCCTGGAATGTGCATTTAAATGAGATATGTGATCAAGTGTTTCAATGCTTACATTTTGCTTTCCGCAAAGTTCTTTAATAGCTCATAGAGGTGAGCTCATTTCTCAGCAGCAGTTGGAGTTGTGGAATTTAGATGTAACACTTTGCTGGTGCAGCCCATTAGAGTTCTTTCTGTCAGTCTGCTTTTGTCATACTCTAAGCTTTCATGGGGTTATTTTAAAAGTTGCTGAAGATTGCTGAACGTAACATGTTCTAGCCCTGGTGGTGAACTGTGAGGAAGATGAGAACACTGGTTGTCTTTCTGGCTTTAGACAGCTTTGACAAAAGTCACTTGGCATGACATGGAACTTAGCTTGCTAAATTAACACTTTTCTACAGACCTGAAAATAAATTAACACTTTTCTACAGACCTGAAAATGTGAACTTCACCAAGCTTTCTGATTTTTGTTTTGTTCTGTCTGTGTTGTAACCAGCAATTGGTAACAAAGCTTGCCTTACTGTTGTGTCACTAGCATTTGCTTGTATTGGAAACTGTGATGTAGTTCAAACAGTTGTATTCATTTTTTTGTAGCACTTCAAAGCTGCCAAATGATCTGCTTGATTTGCAGCCAACTTTTCA